AAGGAGTGTAACTACTTGAGGTAAATGTTCAACTCATATGCCTGTCTTTTGTTTGGCTGGAAACCACAGGTGTGGGTTCAATTCCAGAACTGAAGGGCACCTAGGGGCCATAGTGCCAGTGGTACCAACAGGCTCTGTCGGACCAGCAAACCTGGTCCCCCCCCCTTTTTTTTCCTCCAAATGATTTTGAGTTTTGTTCCACATTGTTCTCCCTCTCTATAAAGCATCTCCTACATAGATCCCCTTCCAAGTGGATGACAGTGGTAGCCGGGCACCATCTTCTGGTCTGATAGTCGTATAGGCTGCAGATCAGGTGGTGTACCAGTCTCTCGGACTAATTGTTTCCATGAATTTTGGTTTTCTTCATTCTTCTTGGCTCTGGATGAGGAGAGGCCCATCGTTGCAGCTAGATGGCAGCTTGTTAGCTTTTAAGATCCCAGTCGCTACTCGCCAAAAGTAGGAGGTGGAACAATGTTTTTTATAGTATATTATGCCAATTGAGCTTGATGTCCCCTCTGACTATGGTCCTAAGCCCGCAGGTTCAACTACTCGGTCCCTCTGGGTGACTGAGTCAATACATTTTTACTTGGAAACTTTTGATCTGTATTTTTACTAATTGGAACCAAAACCTTCTACACTAATTTTGCGTTTTGGGGATGATAAAATCACAGTATACATTTAAAATGCTTAGGACCTTACAGAGAAGAACTGACCAATTAAAAAACTACATCATTATTCTTATGGCTGAGTTAAATGGATTTTCTGCAACACCTACTGGAAAGGTGGAGTAATTTACCATCTGAAAAGTGTGTGTGAAGGAAAATCAGCAAACTTTTGAATTTTGTGAAAACTTACTGAGGACAGTGGGTTGTTGGAAGAATTACTATTAGGAAAAAAAAGTCAGAGTAGCAAGTGTTGTATATCATTTAGGGACAATGTGATTCATCTTTCCAATGATTTGGTACAAAGGTTAGTGCAGGTATTTTTAAATTCCGGTTGAAATGACAATGTAACTTTGTAGCTTTTGGTGATGAAATCAATTGAACAAGGTCTGATGAGTAGAAGGGAGAGGAAGAAAATTAGGAATATTTATTCTGTGACACCCAACCACTCAGCTCATTGAAAAAACATAGAACAAAACTTGTGGTCTAGAGTTCCGGCAAGATGGCGGACTACGCAGAAAGACTGCATAGATCCTCTTCAACAAAGAAAAGGGAAACCAATTAACACAGACACAGAAGATAATCTTGGACCCCTGAGCCTTGAAGGGAAGGATATAGAAGTGGAC